ATATTTATTAATTCATCATTAAAAACAATTTCTTAAATTCTATTTATGTGAAAGTCACCACGGTGAATGGAGAAATGTATCCAATCTTGCTTCCTGGCACTCACAGTCAAGAAAGGTGGGATAAGGTTTGGGTAATAAAGGTAAGTAACATTGATTTGTTATAAGCTGATTTGACTATGATATACAGTCATGCATCACTTAATAAGGGGAACACATTCTGAGAAATGCATCCTTAGGTAGTTCATCACCGTGAAAACATCATAGAGTGTGCTTACACAACCCAGATGGTATAGCCTACTACACACCAAGGCTATATGTTATAGCCTATTGCTCCTAGGCTACAAACCTGTATAGCATGTCACAGTACAGAATACAGTGGGCAATTATAACACAATAGTAAGTATTTGTGTATCTAAACATAAAAAAAGTACAGTAAAAATATGGTATAAAAGATATAAAATGGTACACCTGTGTAGGGTACTTACCAGAGTGGAGCTTGAGGGACTGGTAGTTGCTCTACATGAGTCAGTGAGTGAGTGAATGTGAAGGTCCAGGACATTACTGTACCCTACTGTAGACTTTATAAACACTGTATCCTCCGGCTACACTACATTTTTTTAAAAATACTTTTTCTTCAATAATAAATTAACCTTAGCTTATTGTAACTTTTGTACTTTATAAATGTTAATTTTTTTTTAACTTTTTGACTTTTATAATGACACTTACTTAAAACACAAATATATTGTGGAGCTGTACAAAAATATTTTTTCTTTTTATCCTTATTCTATGAGCTTTTTTCTATTTTTAATTTTAAAATTTTTTTTTACTTTTTAAGCTTTTTTGTTAAAAACTGAGACACAAACACATACAATAGCCTAGGCCTACATAGTCAGGATCGTCAATAGCACTGGCTTCCACCTCCACATCTTGTTCCACTGGAAGGTCTTCAGGGGCAATAACATGCATGGAGCTGTCATCTCCTATGCTAACAATGCCTTCTAAAACACCTCCTCAAGGACCTGCCTGAGGCTCTTCTTGAGGAGGTGTCACTCTTTTCAGAAATATGTCTGTGGTGGTTTGCTTGGTTTGTTCCTTTTTCATCATAGATTTGCTTGTAAGCAGATAGTGCACCATGAACATTCCTCTCTGTTAATGAAAACCATTCAGTGTTGGGGTCCATGTTTTCAAACATTTTAAGGAGCTTGTCGAGGTCTACAAAAGCTTTTGCTAAACCCTTCTTTGTGAATTGTTTTGGAAATTCTTTTTTTCCTCCTACAATTTCCTTTTCTCTTGCCTCTTCTTCAGCTATGTGTTTCTATTCTAGTTTCAACAACTCCTCATTAGTCACTTCCTCAGGAACCACCTCTAAGAGCTCTTCAACATCATCCTCCTCCACACTCAGGTTAAAGTTGTTTGCCATCTCAACCATAGACTTGTTGATTTTTGCAACCTCCTCATCCTTGGCAAATCCTTTGAAGTCATAAATGAACCTCTTGAGTGTCTTCTTCCAGATGCCATTCATACACTCCTTGGTGACATCACCTTCAAGCCCCTTCCAGGTTCTTGATTTAGTCATAGATGTTATAATCCTTCCAGAATTGCATCAGTGTCTTCCTCAGTTGCAGCAATAGCCTAGGAGAGGTTGTCCTCAGGTAGTAGGAAAGTAAAAGCTGCTATAACTCCTTGATCCACTGATTGGATCAAAGAGGTGGTATTTGGCGAGAGAAGCACCACTTTGATATAGGGATGAAGATCACCAATAAAAAGAAGATGTCCAGGAGCATTAACAATAAGCGAAATCTTGAAAGGTATGTTATTCTCCAAACAGTGCTTCTGCATTTTACTGGCATAGCAATTCCGGAGAGCATCTTGGAAGAGGAGCTGGGTCATCCATGACTTCTTATTGCTCCTGTAGTACACTGGCAGTGTGTGCTTATTGGTATGCTTGAAGGCCCTGGGGTTCTCATTGTGCCAGATCACAAAGAGTTTCAATTTGTAGCCTGCAACATTGCCCCCAAGCAAGACTGTTATTCTGTTATAAAAAGCTTTGAAATCTGGCATTGACTTGGCCTCCCTATGGATGAAAGTCCTTTTAGGCATCCATTTCCAGAATTGGAAGTTTTCAACCATATTGAATATTTTCTTTGGCAAGTAATTTTCCTCCACAATCAGCTTATCTAGACTTTCCAAAAATTCTTCAGCTGCCTTCACATCAGCACTCACGACTCATCACTTGGTTTCACATTATGTAGTGAATATTGATTCTTGAATCATTTAAACCACCCAGAGCTAGCAATAAATTCAACATTGTAGTCAGGTCCAGCCTTTACTTTTTTTTTTTTGTGTGTGAGGAAGATCAGCCCCGAGCTAACATCCATGCTAATCCTCCTCTTTTTGCTGAGGAAGACCGGCCCTGAGCTAACATCTATTGCCAATCCTCCTCCTTTTTTTTCCCCTAAGCCCCAGTAGATAGTTGTATGTCACAGTTGCACATCCTTCTAGTTGCTGTATGTGGGATGCGGCCTCAGCATGGCTGGAGAAGCAGTGCTTTTGTGCCCGTCCGGGGATCCAAACCTGGGCCGCCAGTAGCAGAGCGCGCGCACTTAACTGCTAAGATATGGGGCCAGCCCCAGCCTTCACTTTCTTTTTTTTTAAATTTTATTTATTTATTTATTTTCCCCCAAAGCCCCAGTAGATAGTTGTCTGTCACAGCTGCACATCCTTCTAGTTGCTGTATGTGGGACGCTGCCCCAGCACGGCCGGAGAAGCGGTGCGTTGGTGCGCGCCCAGGATCCGAACCCGGGCCTCCAGCAGCGGAGTGTGCGCACTTAACCACTAAACCACGGGGCCGGCCCCCCCAGCCTTTACTTTCAACATCACAAAAAATATTTTTGCTTTGGCCATGATTGCCATGGTGCTGAAAGGGATACATCGCTGTGTCTTCAATGCAGGTCATTAGAAGTGCCTCCATGTCTGATATAGGCGCTTCTTGAATTTTTGTTAATCTAGTTGCCTTCAATGAAGCAGATCCTCTAACAGCTTCCATCACTTTGTTCTTGTTCTTCGAGATCTTAGCTATGGTGGAATGGGACATGCCTCAGTGGCGAGCAATAATCGTCACTGATTTTTCATCTTTGTAGTCCTTAATCACTTTTAATTTTGTTTTCAAGTCAGTCCCTCCATGTGGCCTCTTACTGGTAACATTAGCAGTGGATTTTGTATGATTAGGGGCCGGGATGAACAAAGCAACACAAGATTAAATCAAAACCAAGAGAAAATGATGCAACGAAGAGATGCAGTAGACATGAGACGTATGAGGCTGCTGCTGGCATAACATGGCATGCTGTTTCACAGTAAACTTTTCTGTTATAAGCAGAAAGAGTATACTCTAAAATAATGGTGAAAAGTATAGTATAATAAATATATAAACCAGTAACATAGTCATTTATTATCCTTATCAAGTTTCATGTACTGTACATAATTGTATGTGCTATACTTTTATACAACTGGCAGTGCAGTAGGTTTGTTTACACCAGCATCACCACAAACATGTGAGTAATGCATTCCACTATGACATTACTGCAGCTACAATATCATCCAACAACAGAAAATTTTCAGCTCCATTTTAATCTATGGGACCATCGTCATCACGCAGTTTGTTGTTGACCAAAATGTCATTATGAGGCACGTGGCTATATTTGCTACATGCTTAGTTTTTTTTTGTGAACTGTGTCGTAGAGTAAAACTTTAAATCACAGATAAATCACTTTCAATTTGGTCTCAGATACCCAGAACAGGAAAAGGAAATACAGAAAACCTATGAATGGCATCCTAATTAGGCTGTCAATATCGGTGATTTTTCCTAATAGTTTCCTAGATTATTTATTTATATATATATTTCCAATCTTCTTTTCTGTGTCCCCTTTCTTTTATTTTTTTCCTCGAGTGGTTTAAAGCAAATCCCAGATATCATATCATTTTGCTGATAAATACTTCAGTAGATATCTCTAATAGATAAGGATTTTTTAAAGAGCGTGTATAACTTCAATGACACATTTCTTTTCTGGTTAGGAGGTGAAGGGAAAATAGATAAGAATTCTGTCAATGAATACATATAGGCATACTTATGGGGAGCCCACTGAGGAATCTTTGTGACTCAAGACAATCATGTATAAAATGTATTCTTTGCTGGGCAATTCAACCGTGCTGAATATTACTTCTGCTAACATTATTAGCTATCGTTTATTGAGTTCTTATTGTGTGTGAAGTACAAGACTTAGCATTTTAACCTATTATCTCATTTGAATCCCTACAGCAACATCATCATTATCAAGTGGACATTATAATGTCCCAATTTATAGGCAAAGACATAGGTTCAGAGTGTTGAGTAATTCCCTAAGATTATAGACCAAAGGAATAGCAAAGGAAAGATTTGAAACTAGTTCCATCTGGCTCCAAAGTTCTCTCTGCTACTATGTTATACTGCCATTGTATTAAATAGTACTCCTAATTAAGTTTGAAAATTACCCAGGTCATCATGACTGGAGATAAAAGTCAAATGTGATTAGCCCCCAAATTCTTAAGTCCACTGCCAATTAAAGCAGTCAAAATTAAAACAGAAAATTTGAGACTGATGAAAAATACCACATAGGTATATTCTGCTACAGTGAGATAAAGAAATAGGGACATTGGAATCAAATAATCTGGTCTAAATGCACACTCTTCCACAAATTTAGTGTGCCTTACTCTCTTTGAATTTCAGTTTCCTTATCTGAAGAGTGAGTACAAGTGCCTCTCCTCTAATGCTCATGGAAAACAGAGTTTTCCCTTTCATAAATTACTTAGTGAAATATCCTGAAACACTATCAGAATCACCGCTTTCCCCAGCTGCAATAGACATAACCCAAGAATTTGCGTCAGCCAACTTCCCAATATGAAGCAAAGCCTCTCCTTCCTCCTACAATGATTGAGTCATTCTTCTATTAGATAGCGGTAGCTATTTAAACACTCCAGCAGAAGCTCACAAATTTTCACTTTGTAGAGGTCCTCACTGCTTCACTCTCTCATCCTTGGAATGAATTTAGAAATGACTTTTGATGACTTCAAGAGCAAAACGTTGAAGGATCAGCCTGAGCATAAGGCAAATGGAGAGAAAGGTAAAGGTACTAGTGGTGGGTGAATGTGTACAGGGACAGAATCTCAGGATTAGCTTAAATATGTAAATTAATTGAATATAGGATTAGAAAGCTAAAACATGAGAAATATGAGAAAATATTATAGAATTAATAACATTTACTTAAAAGAAAAACAGTTCAGATAGAATGATGATGATGGTGATGATGAATGAACTAACTTGGTATGAATGATGATGTAGTATATGATGATAGCTAACATTTATTGAGCATTTACTACAGGCTATGTTCTATGCTATTCACTTTACATGCACTATTTCTCTGAATATTCAAAATAACACCTTGAGATTAGGAATATTATTATCTCTCTTTTACAGAGTATTAACTAGAGATCAGGAGAATTAACTAAATTGCCCAGTTTTATGTAGCTGGTAAGTGGTAGAGCTAGGATTGTATCACAAACTCCCATTTATCTAGAATCCAATCCATCAGAAGGTTCAGGAAATGTTGAACTTACCCAGTGTATACAACGATAATTTTTATAATAGTATCCTTGAGGCATTGCAAAACCTGATATATTTTATGAATTATCCAAAGCAGATTAAACGATATTTAGTATAGTTGCACATAAATTATGTTTTATCGTATACAAATGCTTTGAAAAATTATAATTTCTATTTAGTATTTACAGTAAATTAAACTGCTTAAGTATAAATTAATTCATAATCCCAACTCCACAAAGATATGGATAAATTGTCTTTTATTTTATATCCATTCTTAGAGGAAGAAACAAAATATAAGGAGGGAAGATAATACAAGTATTATCAGAAATTTAGGTAAAGAAATTCCAGGTCATGTTTCCATAAACAAGATAGAAATTTCTTTCAATAGAGAAAATAAGTGTGAGCATGAATGATTTAACATTTGAGCTGGTGACCTAACTTGGTATGAAAACAGTTCTGGCATTTATAGGTAGACATACAAGTTAACAATAGTCAGTTGTTTATTCATTCATTCATTATTTATGTAGTAAATGCTAAGTGTTTGACTTTTACTACAATTATGGAATTAATTCTTCTCTCAGAACCTGGTTAGATCAGTCACCTATTGCAAAGGATGTGATTGCTTTCTGATTAGAAAATTACTAGTGGGAGTGGGGGTTGGATTAATGGTCTGTGCCTACCAAGGAGATGGGAGAAAAGATGGCCTGGAGAAAATGAGAACACGTGTCTTCCCTGCACAGGTATAGAACTTGTGGTTTTCTTCTAAAAATTCAGGCGTTTCATCACTCAAGAGTGGTGGACACATTTAGTCTCCTATAATATGGAATGAATACTGACCAGAGGAAAATGTTGGTTGAAAGATTTACACAAATATTTGCCCCCGAGGTTAGGATTAGGCAATTATTTGCAAGAGACGCACTATCTTCTACTTCTTCTCTGACAATTTATCACACACATTCTAGGGGCTTAATAACTATTGAATCAGTGAATGAACCATATTCTTCCCTGTAAAAATTTCTATTTTGTTTGTATCATCTGTAGAGTCTTACAGAATTGCTTTTGACACATGAGAACTCTGAGTATATATGATTACTGATTGGCTTGGATCATTGGACATTCACTCTGGAAATTTTGTGATGTAATGTTCCAAGTCATGTTGCTGTTGACAATTGGATTAAAGACCTATGTTCAGGTCTTAACATCTGTGAGATCTTGTTCAAGTCTCTGAACCTTTCAGTTTCCTGATTTGCATATAAGGATAACAGTGCCTGATTTGTTTGTCTTACGAGGTGTGGAGTCCAAATACATTGTATGAGATTTTTTCCTGCTGAACCACTAATATCTGTGCTTTTTTAATGATGAACACATAATTAGATATTCATACACCTGTGAGATACATGATTTATTTGTTTTTATAATAATGGTGAATTTTTCTCTTGTAATAACAGTGCCACTGGTGTGCATGTAGGACGTGACGTTAATATGAGTTAAGTGAATATTGAGGTTTCATACCTATTTTCCTTTGGTCAATAACCTCAGTTCCAAGATATAATTTTAGTGGAATAAAAACTGAATAGCAAGACCAGCCTGGTGGCATAGTGGTTAAGTTCACACACTCTGCCTTGGCTGCCATGGTTTCGTGGGTTCAAATCCTGGGCTTGGACCAACGTACTGCTTGCCAAGCCATACTGTGGCAGGCATCCCACATATAAAATAGAGGAAGATGGGAACAGATGTTGGCTCAGCACCAATCTTCCTCAGCAAAAAGAGGAAGATTGGCAATAGATGTTAGCTCAGGGCCAATCCTCCTCACCAAAAAAAAAAAAAAAAATTGAATAGCACAAAATTGTGTTGTAATTCTTTGAGGTGATCTCAGTTGATTAACTAATTAAGCTTATTTGCTTGGTGTCTGACATTCGTTTATGGTATTTTACTTATAAAACACATTGTGTGTGTGTGAGAAAGAATGCATACACATGGTCTGTATGAAAAACATCAGGCTCTCTGCTCTGTGGATGAAGTTGATCCAACCAAGCTGGACTGAGAGTTTCTTCAAGAGTCATTGTAGGGAGAGTAGACAAAGTATAAGCTTTAGTTGGTTTTTTTTTTTTTTTTTTTTTTGAGGAAGATCAGCCCTGAGCTAACATCCATGCTAATCCTCCTCTTTTTGTTGAGGAAGACCGGCTCTGAGCTAACATCTATTGCCAATCCTCCTCCTTATTTTTCCCCAAAGCCCCAGTAGATAGTTGTATGTCATAGCTGCACATCCTTCTAGTTGCTGTATGTGGGACGAGGCCTCAGCATGGCAGGAGAAGCGGTGCCTCGGTGCGCGCCCGGGATCCGAACCCCGGGCCGCCAGCAGCAGAGTGCGTGCACTTAACCGCTAAGCCACGGGGCCGGCCCCAAAGTATAAGCTTTAGAATCACATACTTAGAGCCAAATATCTGGTATTGAATTCTGGCTCTTAAATTGTGTCAGTTGTGTGACCATGAGTAAATTACTTAAATTCTTTCACTGTCCATATTTTTCATCTGTAAATGTGGATAATGAATTGTTTGCAGAGCCCTTTGGGAGGACTGGAGGTAAGGAATGCAAAACACCAGGTACAGACAGGATCCAAAGAATTGTTTGATTACTTGCCTCCATCTTTTTGTCTGTCTGATGCTATCCTCTGTCACTCCAGGTCTTCGTTTTCTTTCTTCTCGGTGGTGGTGCCCTGTTGCTGTGACTCTGGGGATCCTTTGCCTGGGATTACTGGTGACGGTTATAATGCTGATAATGCAATGTAAGTATCGAAACAGGGAAATGATGGAGGAAAAAAATGAGAGTTTATAAACATGGTTTATGAGTTGGTTTCATAACTACAAACAATCTTGATTTAGATACATTTTAGGCAAATTGCTTTTAGAGTGAGTGGGAAGATGAGTGGATATATTTTGCTTGTCTCTCAAATAGATTGAGGCATGGAATGAAGATTACGAATGGTAGGTTTTTGTTTTGTTTTCTTTTGTTTTCATAATTTCATGGATAGAGCCTACTTAAATCCTAGAATGATGAGGAAGAAAATTATTTGAAGTTACTAATCCACAAGATCACCTGAAAGACCCAAAAGTAAAAGAAACTTCATTTAGTTCATGTTGAGTTTTAATAGTAATGATTAAATACCAATTTAAAGTTAAGAACCAGAAACACAGTCTTAATAAATAAAACATTTAAAACAAAACATACTTCAAACTTATAATATGGGCATTTAGGAAAGAGAGGATGCTAAGAGAAAGAGAAATGAAAAGAAAGATAGAGTGGCCAAGACAGAAAGAAAATGGTGCTGATCATCCATCTAACCTGCCTGTGTATTTACGTTGGAGATCTGAGTTATTTTGGCTCTCTAGAATCCAGGTTACTAGGGCCTTTGAAGGGCTATTTGTTTCTTAATTGTTGTTTAAGGTCATAAACTATTTATTATTTCCATCTATAAATACTTAAGGACTTTCCTAATGATTGGGATAAGTGCCTTGACTCAGGGGTGGTTATTGGAAGTCTTTCTCTGAGCCCCTGATCACTTTACAACAGGGTCAAATCTGGCCTTCAAGCCAAGGAGTCTGCTTTATACTGAACCATCAAGCTTCTAGAACTGAGATACTTGACGCTTAACATTTGTTGCCTGCTTGATTTCACAACTTTAATTTCATCTCCACCCTTTCTAAAAAAAGTACTGTGGCAAAAAAAAAAGAAAATGTTTTGAGACTCTTGTGACACAATTTAAAATAATTCTGTGGAAGCGTGTTTCAAAAAAGAGACTAGTGTCACAGTCCTTAAATAAAATTAGGAAGTCTGAAAGGGTAGAGAGAGGACAGAGGAATGAAGTGACAAATAGAATAAATCATTAATGACAATTCCTACTAATAGTCACTGAGTCTGGTTGGCCTCTGACTATTTTAGCTTGTCTATATTTTATTTATACCACTGATATACTACTTACCTTGAGATTGCTTTTAATTTGTGTGTAGCTCTCATCAAGTAAAATTCTGGTAATTTTTTTTTTAATCACAAGTATCTGTGACAGTTCCTAACATTAAAAAAATATTGCAGCAATTTCAAATAACTTTCAAATCCATAATGCGAGTAAATTTGGGTCTTTTTCCAGTAGTTTTTCTGTTGTCAAATCAGATTATTTGACTCAGTTCTTTGATTTCCTCAAAATCCAGTGGAGGGATTTTTATTGGGGATTGGTGATGGAGTCTTAATTCAGCTATGGTTTAGTATCCCAGGTGTATGATTACCTACAGCAACAGCAAGCAAACCTTACTCACCAGGAAAATATACTGGAGGGACAGATCTTAGCCCGGCAGCAAGCGGAAAAAGATTCTCAAGAGTCACAAAGGGAACTCAAGGAAATGATAGAACCCCTTGCCCGCAAGCTGGATGAGGAGTCCAAAAAACGAATGGAACTTCATCACCAGAACCTGAATCTCCAAGAAACTCTGAAGAAAGCAGCCAACTTTTCCGGTATGGGGCAGGGAGGGGTGAAGAGAGGTGAAGGAACTTTCTCTATTAATCTTACCCCATTTTGGAAATGTCTGTAGGCACAAAATTGGCATATTGATATATGTATCATTGTTCATTCCTAATGTTCTACACCAAAGTTCTCTATTTTTGTCATCCTCACCCTCCCCTATGCCAAATTCTTGAGATAATCTGATTTAATTAACCACACATTTGGGGGATTTAAGTTTTCCTTTTTCACAAGAGACTCCTCTTCCTTTTTAAAATTTTGGTTTTGAGAGTTTTCTAGAAGAACTCTCCTACCCTTACCCTTTCCATTTCAATGTATCCTAATCATTAATTTCTTTTTCTAAGGAGTCCCCTTTGTCCCTAGGGACCCTACCTCTACATTGGCTTTATTCCGTGGCACTATTTCTTGAAGGGCACTACATCAATTTAAATTGAATCAATTTGGCTGGCTTGGAAGTACTAGGTAGATACTTTAGATAAAACAAAAATATGAGGGTCCCAAGAAGTCAGTTTATGTGAGAAAAGTTGAGTTGATCTCAGCCATATCCTCAGAATCTCGGAGGTGGGTAGAAATAGTAACATCTATAAGAAAGAGATGATAATGTGAACTCGTATATTATTATGGAAGTTATCTGTATTATTTAGTCTTTCTACCGTGTGCAAGTAAACCAGATATATGATTTTAGTCATAGGGAGAATTAGAGGGTGTGAGATGGAGTCACTTTCAGAGGTACATTGCTTCCTTGGAGCAGTATGAATGAGTGTCTTATTCTCAGCATTAGTAACTAGCACTAACAACAGGTTTCTCCAGCTTCCTGCTTGTAAAATTCATTTAATCTTAACCACGTAATTTCTTTGAATAAAGACTATATAAGAACAGTTCACAGATACTCATCCCTTTATTTTATAGGATAAAATTGAAACCCAGAGAAATTAAATGATAGTAATAATGATAAGTAGTTTTATATAAAGTTTTACAGTTTATAAATCACTCCAATACTTACAGGGTTATTTACATTTCCAAAATAACCAGAAATTTTTAGACAAACTGATATTTTGGAAATGTCAAACATGTATTTAATCTCTTTAAGGAGGGAGCTATTGAGGAAATAAAAGCATACACCATCTTGAGGGAGGCTTAAAGGAAGGAGGCTAGTATGTCAAGGATATGAATGTTTATATAAACAGACATAGCTACATACCAATCAATGATTTATTTCACAGGTGGGGCTGTAAAACAGTTTTGTTTTTATCGGTCGTATGGGATTAAATCTACGTCAGGACCATTCAGAACCATCTCCTAGGGATGCCAGGCGTGGACAACTAATTGAAAATAATAAGTGATATGTCTTTTGCTGGCAGATATACCAGATAACATGTTCCATTCCTTGACAGTGTCAGATAAAGGCCAATTAGTAGAGACACCAAATAAAGTACTGCTTTTCATCAAGCAGCTTAGAGACAAAAACATTAGTAAGAAAATACCATGTGGAAAAAATATGCCAGTTTTCTCAAGTTTGAGATAAGTTTTATCTTTCTTACTAGCAAGTCTGTGGTCCTTGGTGTATACATGAAGAGGAAGAGACTCTGAGAAGTTACCATACGTGGTTTGCTTGAGGTCATGCAGCTAGAAAGATGCAGGCTCTTCACAGCACGAGGCTTTACTTTTAGCCCCAGAATTAGTGGTGGTTCTCAACCTTTAGTGTGCAAAATTATCACCCAAGTAGCTTGTTAAAAATGGCAGCTTCCAGGTTTACCCCAAGATTCTTTATCAAAATATCTTGAAGGGCATCAAGAAACATTTTCTCAATTGATTCCAACTCACATGTATGAGGTAGTGTGACGTAGTGATTAAACACAACAGAGTTACATTGCGTAGGTTCAAATTCCTTTTTTCGTTATCAGTCAAATGAAGAAAATGAATGGAACCTATCTCATAGTGTTGTTATGGGCACTAAATGAGTTAATATGTGTGGAGTACTGCCAACAGTTTTTGGCACATAGTGATATTTGTGAGTGTTAGAAAAAAATTAAAATAAATACAGGTGGTTTGAACATGACATTTTGCGATTTGTCCGTCTCACGTTGTCATAGCTTGGAAACCCTGTCTAGACTGTCCTTGAGTCCATGAAAACCAATATATTCTTGCCTTTTACATAATATGATGGGACTAGGCAAATTAAGACGAAGCTTGCATTCATTGCTTTCAACCTGGCCTTTTGTATGCCCTTTCTCTTTCACTTTCTCTTTCATAGTTCAGTGCCCTCCTGCTTTCTCCTCTTTGATAAAGCTTACTCTTATAAAATTGTCTAATCGTTTTATGCCCCAAGGAAAACTCAAATTAAAATGTCGTGTTTCTCAAGGATTTTAATTTTTTCATTTTTTGGTCACAGTGTAGACCAAAGGGCTTTTTTTCCCCATTAAAGAGATTCCAAGTGTTACGAGTACACAGAAGAGATGAGGAGGAGGAGGAGAAGGAGAGGGAGAAGGATGATGATGATTTGGGAGTTCTTTAAAATGTCCATAAACATATAAACATTGGCGTATTTTGCCTATTACCTAAGCCCTGAGTTGGGTTTTTTTGGACTGCCTGGGAATTTCGCTGCTGAAAATTTCTCCTTATTTTCTGAAATCTTATTAAAATTGAGATGCTCACTTTGCATCAATATACTGTTCTCCCTAGAACATCTCTGTCCAGAGGAATACAGTGTGTGCCACATACACAGCACTAAATTTTCTAGTAATCACATTAAAAAACAAAAAAGAAACAAATGAAATTAATTTTAGTAACGTTTTATTTAACTCAATATATTTGAAATATTATTTCAACACTAATCAGTATAAAAATTATTAATGGGATATTTTACATTCTATTTTTTGTATTAAGTTTTCAAAATCAGGTGTGTCTTTTACACTTACAGCACCTCTTAATGCAGACTAGCCATATTTTAAGTACTCAAGATCCACATACAGCTACTGTATTGGACAGAACACATCTTGAAGCAGGAGACACAGCATCTAAACCTAAATCTATTATTCAAAGACCTGAAGTTTTAAAATGCGTAAACATATCTTTTTAATAGCAGAATGGCTATTAAATATTCATTCCCCCAACTCTCACTTCCATTATTTGAAACATAACTTTAAAATATAGATCAGATTCTAAACTTACATCTCAGCTCAAGCTTTACTTTTTAACAACCTTGCTTTTTAATTTAGTTTACTAAAATTAGAACGCTTTATTTCCTTTTCTCCAAAAAATGGAGAAATAAAGACTCTAAGGCTATTGAGATATTTGCAGAGTCTGGGTATAATTCTAAGTAAGAAGAGATGGGGGCCTGGCCCCGTGGCTTAGTGGTTAAGTGTGCACGCTCTGCTAGTGGTGGCCCAGGTTCGGATCCCGGGTGCACACCGACGCACTGCTTGTCCAGCCATGCTGAGGCCACGTCCCACATACAGCAACTAGAAGGACGTGCAGCTATGACATACAACTATCTACTGGGGCTTTGAGGAGAAAAAGGGAAAAAAAGGAGGAGGATTGGCAATAGACGTTAGCTCAGGGCCGGTCTTCCTCAGCAAAAAAAGGAGGATTGGCATGGATGTTAGCTCAGGGCTGATCTTCCTCACAAAAAAAAATAAATAAAAGAAGAGATGGGACATATGTGAGAGTCCTAAGCGGAGAATTGATTTAAGAATTATAGAAATATTTTTACCCAGGCATAACTCACTGATTAGATATACTATACCTCCTAGGTCCTTGTCCCCAAGACTGGCTCTGGCATGAAGAAAACTGTTACCTATTTTCCTCTGGCCCATTTAATTGGGAAAAAAGCCAGAAGAACTGCTTGTCTTTGGATGCCCAGATGCTGAAAATTAATAGCACAGATGACCTGGTGAGTTTTTATGGATGTGTGTTGGGCTGGAGTATTGGCTTATAGGGAAATAAATCAGGTTTCAGCCCTTGGTCGAGGAGCACTTGTTTGAGAATCAGAATACCTGTTCTCTAGCCACTAATTATGGGCATGACCTTGGATGGACATCTTACGTAGCATCTCTATGCTTCAGTAAACATTTCTGTAAAATCAGTAAAGGGATGTCAAAGATCTCTTTTGGGTCTTTAGTTTTGTGAATCTAATCTAAAACGACCACACTGTCTTCACCATCAACTCAGAAATGTTACTCCCCACAGGAATTCATCAAGCAAGCAAGTGCCCATTCCAGTTTCCCATTCTGGATCGGGCTGTCTCGGAGGACACCCAGTGACTCATGGCTCTGGGAGGACGGTTCTCCTTTGAGGCCCCGTTTGTAAGTTTCCTGTTCTTTGCTGAACCTGCTAGTAAAGTTGCTGCTGCCTTCCACATGATGTCCCCCTCTTGGCAGAGAGAAGCTTAGGGAATTTCTGAAAGTCTCTTTCCCCCCTCTCTCACACAGGGACTTGCACATTTACCCATTCAGACCTTCTCTTGAGTTTTCCTTCCCAGATCTATTACTGATTTGAAGCTTTAAGACAAGGCTAAATTCTTGACACAAAGTGACAGTAAATCTACTTTTTTTCTTCTCTCCGCATGCAGGTTTAGACTCCAGGGAGCTGTTTCCCAGGTGTACCCTTCAGGCACCTGCGTATATATACAAAGGGGAGCTGTTTTTGCTGAAAATTGCATTTTAATGGCATTCAGTATATGTCAGAAGGCAGCGAATCTATTGAGACCACAGTGAATTTGAAGGCTCTGGAAGGAAAGAAAGAGGCCTTTGAAGTCTCTACTGGAATTTAAGCTATTCTTCGTCACTTAGGTGCAAACCGTGAGAGCCCTGAGAACTGCCTGTTACTGGCTGACTGCAGAACTCCTTAGCAGAGACCGGGGCTCCAAATGCTTGACATCTTGATATCAAAAGTTTTGCTTCTATCTCTATTTTTTCACCTAGCTTGTCCCAAGCCTCTCTGCCAGCCTTCAATTCCTCTTCCCTTTTTTATTTTAAAATTTCACTCCTCTCTAAGCCTTGGGATTCCTCTGTATTCAGTTCTCTCTACCTCAGGGCTCCCCCTCCCCCTCCACAAACCGCATAGAAGACAGAACATAGAGAACTTGCCCAACCGCAGGCAGAGGGCAGAAAAGGGGAAATATGCCTGGGAAACAGCATCTGAAGAAACATAGAAGAGGAAACACCAAACTGGAATCAAGAAACTCATATTCTCAATGTTAAAAGCTACCATTCGGTGGTTTTTTAAATTGTGGTCTCTTACCACGTACACACACACACACACACACACACACACACACCCATACTCCACACCACATCCTCACATTTTGGGCAACTGGGATGTCCCAGGGAATAATTAGAAACTGGATGGTCTTTTCTGTGAGCTAGTTCAGTTCATTATTGGTTCCCGAATAGGTCATTATTTCTTCATCTTTTCTCTACCCAAGAACAGCTTAACACCTTTGATCCTTCAGAATAGTATTTGTTAGAATCATGAGATAAAGGACCTAGAGGGAAAAATAGAATTTTTTTTTCCCTAAAGTACATAACCTTTGTAGATGACCTCTCCTCAACTCTGTTATGCTATGCTCTAATGCAGAAACATACAGGACCAAAGAATGAAAACAATTCTAAAACAAACTGACCCAGGTATAGAAATATTGCTGAATAGAAACTGATGGAATTAGAAAATTCCTTCTATTTTCAATACTCCCTTTCTACCTCCCTTCACAGATTATTCTACTTTATTTTTTTATTTTATTTTATTTTTTTTTGTGAGGAGATCAGCCCTGTGCTAACATCTGCCAATCCTCCTTTTTGCTGAGGAAGACTGGCCCTGGGCTAACATCCATGCCTATCTACTTCCACTTTATATGGGACGCCTGCCACAGCATGGCTTGCCAAGCGGTGCGTCGGTGCGCGCCGGCGCCGGAGATTGAACTGGTGAACCCCCGGCCGCGCAGCGGAGCGCACGCACTTAACGGCTTGCGCCACCGGGCCAGCCCCAGATTATTCTACTTTAAAGGAGCCTTTCCATTTTGTTGCAAATGAGCTTGCACCAATCTTATAAACAAAGAACAAAGTTGTATCATCCCTAGGAAGACAAGAGATATTTTCTTCTATTAACAGCTTTATTGAGGTTTAATGTCATATAACAAACTGAACATATTTAAAGGGTACAATTGTTAAGTTTTATCATATGTAAACACGTTCCCTTGAAATCACCACCCCAATTAAGATAGGGAACATATCCACCATCCTCCCAGATTTCATCATGCTCCTCCCTAATGTCTTCTCCCCAGACAACCACCAATCTGCTCTAGCTGGCATTTTGTAGTATTTTATATAAATGGAATCATACAGTATGCCTTCTTTTTTTTTGGTCTAGCTTCTTTCACTTACGTAATCATTTTGAAATTCGTATACCTTGTTGCTTGTGTCAATTTTTCATTCTTTTAAAATGTTGAGTGTTATTCCTTTGTAAGCATATACCACAATTTGCTTATTCATTTACCTATTGATGACATTTGGGTTGTTTTCAGTTTTTGGCTGTTACAAATAAAGCTGCTATGAACATGCATGTACAAGTCTTTTTATAAACATAGGATTTCTCTTCTTTTGGGTAAATACTTAAGAGTGTAATGTTTGGATCATTCAGGTGTATGTTTAGCTATTTAAGAAACTGCCAAACTATTTTCCAAAGTTGTACCATTTTACATTCCTACAAGCAGTGTACAAATGTTCCAATTCTATCTCATCCCTGCCAACACTTGGTATGGTCAATCTTGTAATTTTAATCATTCTAAGAGGTGGTATATCATTGCAGTTTAATTTGCATTTCCTAAATGAAAAATGATCTTCAGATCTTTTTCTTTACTTACCTAGTTATAGTGATTATTTACTATCTGCATATTTTCTTTGATAAAGTCACTGTAAACATCTTTTGAAAAATTTTATTTGAGTTATTTGTTTTCTTATTGTTGAGTTTTGAGAACTCTTTGTATATGCTGGATAAAAGTCCTTTATCAGATATCATTTTGATAATTTTTTTTAGTCTATGACTTGCCTTTTTATGCTCTGAACAGTATGGTCAGAAAAGCAGAAGTCGTAAATTTTGATGAAATCCATTTCATGTTTTTACTGTTGTTTCTAAGAACATGTTGCTTAACTCAAGGTCACAAAAATTTTCTCCTATGTTTTCTTGTGGACATTTTCTAGTTTCAGATTTTATATGGAAAAATATGACTTGTTTTGGGTTAATTTGTGAGTCAGGTATTGAAATTCTTTTTTTTTTTTTTTTTTGCTTCAATTGTTTTAGGAACATTTGTTGAAAAGATTATTCTTTCTTCACTACATTGCCTTTATACTTATGTCAACAATTTGTTATCAATATATGCGTGAGTCTATTTCTGGACTCTCTATTCTGTTCCATTGATCTATTTGTATATTTTTACAACACCACCATGCTATTTTGAATACGGTAGTTTTGTAATATATCACATTGTTCTTTTTCAAAGTTGTTTTAACTAATCTATGTTAAATTTTTGATATATGTTCCCATGTTGATTTTTGAATTGGCTTGTCAATTTCTTAAAAAAAAGCCTTTTCAAATTTTGAGTGTGATTGCATTGAACCCATAGTTAAATTTGGGGAAAATTGAAATCTTCAAAATATTTATTTGTTCAACTCATGAACAAGGGTGTTTCTCTCTGTTTACTTAGGTATTGTTTAATTTCTCTAAGCAATGTTTTGTAGTTTTCTGTGTACAGATATTTCACATCTTTTGTTAGATTATCGTTATATATTTCATACTTTTGATGCTTTTATAAATGGTATTGTTATCATTTGTAATTTTAATTTCCAAATGTCATTGGCTAGTGTATAGAATTATAATAAACATTTTTATATTAACCTTATATCCTGAAACTTTGAAACACTCACTTATTTCTCCAGTAATTTTTTTTGTGTGTCTATGGATTCCATTGGATTTTCTAAATAGATAATCATGTCATCTACAAACAAAAACATTTTTATTTCTTCCTTTCTGGATGACTTTTATTTCTTTTCCTTCCCTGATTTCATACATTAGAACCTCCAGTATGATGTTAAATAAAAGTGGTGAGAGTGAACATTCTTATTTTACTCTTGATCTTGAGAAGTCATTCAGTGTTATACCAAATATGTAGTGTTAACTGTATGTTTTTCATAGATGCCCTTTATCAGATGAGGAAGTTCCCTTTTATTTCTAGAATGCTGAGAAGTTTTATCAGGAATGGGTATTGATTTGTCTAATCTTTTTCTACAACTATTGAGATGATTATATAGTTTTCCTTTTCTTTTACTTTTTAGTTTTCTAATATGATGAATTACCTTGAATAATTATAGAAGGTTAAACCAACCTTGGATTCTTGGGATATATTATCATTTTAATATATCAGTGGATTAGATTTGCTAAAATTTGGCTTATGATTTTTGCAACTATGTTTATGAAGGATATTGATATGTTATATTCTTTTTGTTCAATGGTTTTGTCTGGTTTAGGTTTCAGAGAAGTACTCCTCTATATCAATTTTCTGGAAGATTTTGTGTCAAATTGGTACTATTGTTCATTAAATGTTTGATACAACTTACCACTGAAGTCGTCTGGGCATGGGGTTTTCTTTGTTGTAAGATTTTAAAGTACAAATTCTTTAATAGATATAGTGCTATTCAAATGATTCCTTCTAGTGAGCTTTGGTGGTTGACACCTTTTAAGAAATTTGTCCATTTCATCTAAGTTGTTTAATATTTTGGCCTAACATTTTTATTTATATTTTCTTATTATCATTTTAATATCTCTAGAATCTATAGTGATGCCACTTCTCTCATTCCTAACATTGTTAATTTGCGTCTTCTCCTTGTTTTAAAAATCAGTTTGGCTATAGATTTAAAAGAAAAATTTCATTTTTCTTCTCGAAGTTCTTTGTTTCACTGACTTTACTTTTTTTTGTAAAAAGTGAAGTCTGTTGCTTCTTTGTTTTCTATTTTATTAATTTCTGCTTCAATTGATTTTTTTTCTTCTACTTAGTTATGTTTTAATTTGCTCTTATTTTTCTATTTTCTTAAGATGGAAGATAAGTTTGTTGATTTAAGACCTTTTTTCTTTTCAGATATAGCCATGTAGTGCTATAAATTTTCCAGGTAGACTGCAATAAGATATGATGTATATTATAAATCCTGAAACAACTATTAAAATAACAATACAGAGAGAACTGCTAATAAGCCAGGGAGGTTTAGAGCTAATAAATAGGGAGACAAAATGGGCTAGTAAACAATATTTAATTAATACAAAAGAAGGCAGGAAAAGAGGAAAAGGGACTAGAGATAAGTTGAGACAAATTGAAAACAAATATCAAAATGATAGACTTAATTCTAATTATATCTAAATCACATTAAATGTAAATGGTTTAAACACCCAAACAAAAGACAGAAATTGTCAAATTATATAAAATAGCAAGACTCAACTATATGTAACCTAAAAGAAACACAGTCTATGTATAAAGACAAAAAAATAGGTTAAAAGTAAAAGGATTGAATAAGATATAACATGTTGACACGGAGTGGCTATATTAATTTCAGACAAATAGATTCAAAGCAAACATTATTAACAGATAAAGAAGTTCATTTCGTAATGATATAGGGGTTAATTTATCAAGAGGGAGTAACAATCCATAATATTTATGTCTCTATTATCACAGCTGTAAAATATATGAATCAAAAACTTATAGAAGTATAAGAGAAACAGACAAAACTGTAATTATAATCAGAGGCTCAGATACTCCTCTTTCAATAATTGATGGGATAATAGACAAAAGAAAATCAGCAAGAGTACAGTAGACTTGAACCTAGTTATCAACCACCTTTATCTGATGTACATTTTTAGAACATTTT